CTTGGACACTCTGGTGAGGAGAGGGACTGAGCTGTCAGCTGATCACCACCTAGTGGTAAGTTTGATTGATGGCGGGGAAAATGTTAAACCTAGTAGACCCAAATGCATAGTGAGGGTGTGCTGGGAGAATCAGGCAAGGGCCTCTGTCTGGGTGATTTAAAACTTGCAACTCCAACAGAAGTTCTCTTGCATTCTGAGGGAGGCTGGAGACATTGAGTCCAAATGCCGACGTGCCTCTTCAACATTGCGTGGAGGTTGGGGACAGTACCTTTGAATGGGCAGACTGGGGTGGTGGTCCCAATCTTTAAGGAAGGCGACTGGAGGATGTGTTCCGGATTCAGGGGGATCTCACTCTTCAGCCTCCCTGGGAGGGTCTGTGCCTGGCTACTGGACAGGAGGGTCCGCTGTTGGTTGAACCTCAGCTCCAGAGCAGCAGCGTGGATCTCATCCTAGCTGTGGAACGTTGGACCAGCTCTTTACCCTCACAAGGATACTGAACAGTTCATGGCAGTTTGCCCAACCAATCTGCATGTGTTTTCTGGACTTGGAAAAAAAGAGAAACATTTGGGTGGGGCTTAAAATACAGGCTCTGTTCTTCTGCATCATCCAGGATGCCTCCTGGACACCTCCCTGGGGAGGTGAATCGGGCATGTCCAACTGGCAGGAGACCATGGGGCAGACGAAGGACACGCTGGAGATATATCTCTTGGCTGGCCTGGGAACGCCTTGGTATCCCCCGGAGAAGCTGGAGGAGGTGGCTGAGGAGAGGGAGGTCTGGGCATCACTGCTTCGACTGCTGCTCCCGCGACCCAACCCTGGATAAGCGGCAGAGAATGCAGTGGCATGTGTCACTGCAATGACAGTGAAACTACAATTACAAGTATTTCTTTAATATAAACCTGTTTTATTTACTCTTAATAAACAAGAATAACTTAAAAAATAAAAATTTAAATAGGTTTTATCTAAACAGCCTTTAATGTTTTCCTGAAGCAGGCAAACCTGTATTTATTGCCAATTGAAATCAAGTAATTTTCGACTTGTTTAACATCATAGTGGAACATAAAAATTAACAATATGCTCTGGTTGTGGGGGGGGGGGGGTGTGATATGGATCATTGCTTGTGCATAGAGATCCCCCACCCACCAGAATCTCTAGAATGCCAAAACGTGACAGAGGTCTACCATCAGCAGGTGGGCTTTCTGTCACACGAAGATTCTCGGGGCTTAAGGCTGCTGTACATTGAACAGCTGTACATTGAATTTGAAGCAAAAGCTGTTGCTTGCATTATGTGACACACAATCACAGAATCGTGTGGTTTTCTCTTTATGTTAAGCTTCATTTCTACCTTTTTTTTAATTGAAGTGATGTACCTGCACAAAATAAGCGTTGATTATTTTTAGGCAACACTTTACTTAAATGGGCACAAATAACTTACTCAGTTACTACTCAAGAACAAATCATGAACTAACATAGTTCCTGCGTGAAATTCATGAGCCATCATGATTGATTAATGATGAACAAACATAGGATCAGTACATAACTAACACTTAGTTTCTGGTTAATTAATACATTTAGTAAAAGTAATCGTGCCCCCCCCCTCAAGTGAAGCGTTACCATTTTTTTAAACTGACATTAAATACCTGCAGATTAGCTGTGACATTGGCAGCCATTGTGTTTTTGTTCTTCTAAAATACCACGAGTATTAATAGTATCCTGATGGGAGGTTATTTAGAGAAGGGGATTCACAAACCAATGGAACAAAATTGTAATGGACTAACCACACTATCAAAACATGAAACCTACACACAGTACTGAACTGAAGAAACCTTTGGTCACATTCATCAGTCAGATAACCTATCAGAAGCACACAGCATAAAGATGCATAGAGCACAGAGATAACACAAAAACGACATATAAATGTCATAGGTTACTGTTATGCGTCACCTTCTCATCAACTACAGCTGATGAAATGGGCATCAGTTCTCAGATTGATACCCCTAGTAAAATAAAAAATAGTGAATAAATGTACGTGCGATATAAGTGGCTTTCATGACTACAACAAATTTTTCCACCTACAGTGTAACATCTTCATTCAGTTTTTAAATAGTCACTTTGTTCTTTGTTTCATCTTACAGCTTAACATCAGAACTCATTATAAACATCTTTTTTCGGCTTTATTTACACATTTTGCCTTACAACACTCAAGCAACAAAAATTAAAAATGTATTTTAAATAATGGAATCGGGGCTGATTTAATACTTAATAGAGTCCCCCTCTGCTTTAATTACAGCCATCAGCATATTTGGATATGTCTGTACCAGCTCTGTGCATCTACATTTGGCAATATTTCATTCTTCCTTGCAGAATTTTTCTGAGGTCAGTCAGATTTCGTGGTGAGCAGTGATGGACTGCTCTATTCCAGTCCATTCTCAGATTTCCTGTCGGATTCAGGTCAGGGGTCTGACTGTTTTTTTGGAGGGTGTGTTTATGGTCATTGTGGTGCTGGAAGGTGAATCATCTGCCCATCTTCAGCTATCTAGCCACAGGTTTTCCTCAAGATTTTGGTACCACAGCAGCGTCCATTTCCCCATCAATTCTGACCAAGTGCCCAGTCCCCGTTGAAGAGAAACACCCCCACAACATAATGTTACCACCACCATGCTTCACAGTAGGCATGGTGTCTTTTAAGTGATGTGCTATGTTTGCTTTTTGCCAAACATTGTGCTTGAAGTTTAATCCAAAAAGTTCAGTCTTGGTCTCATCTGACTGTAAATTATTTTGCCACGTGGCCACAGAATCTTGAGTGTTTTTTTGCAAAGCATAAATGAGACTCAGTGTGGCATTTTTTCTTGCCACTTTGCCATATAGGCCAACTTTGTGCTGAGTTGGGTAATTCAGGTCCAGGGAGTACAAGTCCCGACCGGGATTTTGTTTCAACCAACCAGTTGAGTACTCTGTGACTGTGACTCTTTATGGTCAACTGGTTGGTTGAAACAAAATCCCGGTCTGGACTTGTAAGTCTTTCAAAATTGCCAGTGGCCTCTTGCTGGCTTCCCTGACCAATATCCCCCTATTGTCATCAAGTTTGGAAGAGTGGCCCAATTTAGGCATGGTGTTGGTGGGGCCATATCAGGGTTGCCAAATTTAGTCAGCTGGAGTGAGATTTTCAATTCAGGACAAGTTTGTACACATATGCACACACATTTACATGTATATAACAGCTTTATTACCTTGTAAATACTTTGTAGGGCTTGCAAACTACCCCAACGCTACGTTTTAGGTTTATAATGGAATGTAGATTTGCTGTAAGATTTCTTGCATGAATGTGAGTCAAAGCGTCACGCTAAATGCATAAGAGCTGATCCCCTCCTAGCCGTGTGCTTTCCAGTTCTGTTTGGTTTTTTTGAAGAAGTTTTTATTAACATATTTTGGTTACAACAAACACATAACAGGACAAACAAATAAATCTAAACCACCATCGACCCCATCTTCCACAATCCCTAGCCCACCCTGGGCGGCCCCAGAACCCCTGCACCTCAGACCAACCCCCCAGAGAAGGTCCCATAAGCAGGCAGGTATGAGGTACATCCAGAAAGGGATACCTAAGGGCAAGTCCCTAAGTAACAGATAAAGGCCTGATAAGAGGAGCCGCCCCGTCCCAAAACTCAGTACTCAGTCTTAGCCCGACGCAGCGGACAATTTCATCACGGCAGCATCCTGAAAACACCATAACCACGTTGTTAGGGAAAGATTGTGTGGTGTAATCCATCTTTGGACAATTCTTTTTTTCTTCTTCCTGCTGTCAAGCCCACTAACAACAGACAACACTGTGCTTTGTTCAATACTACATCTGCATCATCCGACTTGGGATGCAAAGGAATCTTTTTCCTAATCAACATAGACAAAACACCTGCTATCTTTCTCCAAAACAAACATACATTTGTAAGTGACCAGAGACTCCTGGGAACAGGGGCCACGAATAGCGCTTGATATTAAAAAATATCAAGTACAATAAAATCTATGGCATGATTTTTAGTGAATCAATGATAATTTGGATTCTTAGTCGAGTTATATATTCTTGGATTACTACCATTATGTAATGTGGTTATAAGGTAAGGGTTTTGTACAGACACTATATTATAGCCTGTTTTGCTCAGAATGTCAATTTACACAGATCTGTACATCTCTTACTTAGAAACGCCCGCTATATAATAACTTGCATTGATAATGATGGAACAGTAATAATTCATAATATGAATTATGAACATTATTGTTTCCTAATAGTGGAAAACAAGAGAAAATAACACAAATAAAACCTTTGAAAAAATCCCCTTAGAAAAGATCAGGGTACTGTTGTTTGAGACCTTATAAAGGGTTAGGGTATGGAAAACAGGAAATGTCTACTGCACACATGTGCTCAGAATTAGCATCTGGAAGATGGATGGATGGTTGGGTGGGTTGATTGGATGGATGAAAATAAGTAGTTTGATGGAGAAGACCGAAGACTGTTACACATTCCTGTCTAGATTGCAGAGTATTACTGTAGGAACATAGAAAAGGGAAATATGCTGATTTTTGAGTGGGAGTAACACAGAAGAGGTCAGTCACCAACAAACTTTCCAAGTGAGTTATAAAAGCGCAGGCATCCATGCCGTGGCAGAGCCAGAACATTTTATGTGGGGTGGCCAGGGTGGGACTGTCGTCATTTTGGGGGTGACCAATAAATCTAAATATGAATATAAGGCATGTAGAAAAAAGGAAATATTTAAGGTACTTAAATGCTATAACTCTACATTGTTTATAATTCAGACAGTGGTGGAATTATCAAATACACATTTAATATTTAACTTTCTTGTAGATATGGTAACAAGCTTACATTAATGCCACAAAAATGCAAATACGATGGGGCGGGGGGGGGATAATGGGGTGGTCAGGTTTCATTCTGGGGTGGCCACGCCCTCCCTTTGCCATCCCCCCCCCCTTGCCATCCCCCCCCCAGATCAGCGTATGCACTGACAGGATATGCTGGTTTTGTACAGACACCGTATTATAGATTTTCTCAGAATGTCAATTTACACAAATCTGTACATCTCTTACTTAGAAACGCCCGCTATATAATAACTGCCATAAATAATGATGGAACAGTAATAATTCATAATATGAATTAGAAACATTATTGTCTCCTAATAGTGGAAAACAAGAGAAAATAACACAAATAAAACCTTTAAAAAATCCCCTTAGAAAAGATCAGGGTACTGTTGTTTGTGACCTTATAAAGGGTATGGGTTTGGAAAACAGGAAATGTCTACTGCACACATGAGCTCAGAATTAGCAAATACGACGGGGCGAGGGGGGGGGGGAATGGGGTGGTCAGGTTTCATTCTGGGGTGGCCACGCCCACCCCTTGCCACCCCCCAGATCAGCATATGCGCCCATGACTGGAGTTTCTTAAAAACTTTAATGGGGGAAATGTCAGATAAACCCAACAAACCACAGAGGTCTTCTCACTGCTTTTGCGTCACATGTTCCGGTAACAAATCACCATACCGTGTCTTATAATGACAATCTCTGACCTTATTATCCAAGACAATTTCCAAGAAAGCAGTTGAGAAATCACACAATGACACTGAGGCTCTGTTTGCTGGCTTTGTTGTCCATTGCCTGGATTGGAAGGTCTCCCTTTTCCTCCTTTGATAGTGGGCAGCTCAGCATGTTCTCCATTTGGTTCATGGTCACTGTGGTGGTAGGAGAGAGAAGCACCGCACTTCAGCCCAGCGAGCAGCACTTTGCCTACCGCCCAACAAGGAGTAGACTTTCCAATGACCCTTCATTAATCAGGCAGAGTGCACAATGAGAGTGCACCTCTCAAAGGCGTTATCACACTGATAAGAATAACTATCCCCAAAGGCTCAACACTGCTGATCTTCTTAAAACAAAACATATTTTCTAAAAGAAAGCTCAACGATTAACACTCACTGGGAGTAATATACTCTATATTTCTCTTCCATAAGCAGCTGATCAGGAAGATGAGGAGGAGAGGGGATGCAACAATGATGACACTGAGGTAAGGTGCTAAACTCTCAGGATTGCCAAGGGGGAGTGGTGCAATTGGCCCTGTAGAAAAACAAGAAAAAGTAATAAGCAAGCAGGCTATAATAAGGCTATAAACAAGCAGGGACGTGCACTAGTGATCAGATTGGCCAATCAATGTTATACGTATATTTGTCATGTGGATTTAAAGCGAAAAAAAATAAATAAGCTTGTCCATCGCTGTCATGACACGCAGTGAACATAGCGGGAGAGAAGTGCTGGAGTCCAGGAGTTTGGGTAAAACTCAGGATTTAATGACGGAATCACACAATCGGGAGCACGAAAAGACACTAACGATCAAAACGTCAATGACAAGACTGGGGAAAGACGAACAGGGAAGCACTTAAATACAGAAAATTAATCAGACAAGACTAGGAACAGCTGGTAACGCGGGGATTCCACACGTTAACGAGGGGGCGGTAAGATCGGGACGGGACATGCAAACGAAAACTCAGCATGAACTCTCCTGTGGTCAGTCTAAATGCTCACTTTTACAAATGGCAATCCTAATCATTAGTGTAAAGTTAATTTTTATTTGAAAGGTGTAATCACTTTTAGAGAAATATGAAAATTAAAAAGAAAAGAATATTGTTGCTATTTACCACATATTGTATTATGGGTGCTGTTGCCTGGGGATGTTTCCTTCTTACCAAGCTTCTCACACCTGGATAATGTGAATAGAATGCAGAGAGATTAAACAATGCCGCAAAATCTGAAAATATGATAAAGTTTTAGCTAAATAATATGTAAATGACAAAATTCTGATCTTACACTGTTAGATTCTGACACCTTCCACCTTCAGTGTCTGAATATGTGTTTGTGGAGCAATTCTTGCATTCGTATATATAATCAAAATCCCCTGAAATTGAAATATCGCTTTAAGCACAGCACTTTCTCACCATTCTGACACTTTTAATCACACGTCTTTTTGGGTTTATTTATCATTGAGAATGTTGTCAGGTTTGGCTGTTAACTACAGTAATCGCATGGCACTTTACTTAATGGAGTCGAAACAAGTGAATACACAGAAGTAAACAGTCCTTCATTCACTGAGTTTGCAGGTTTTCATTAGTGTGTATTCTATATGACTTTTTTTTTTTCAAAGTAGCTAATTTAAGCCAAAATGACTATTGAACGATGCATCAGGAACAGAGGACATCGCTCACCTAACTTCAGCAGCTCCTTGCCTTTGGGACACACTGTGCTCTTGACACACTTGGTGCACTCTCTATTGGCGCACAGGTGGCCATCCTCGCACGTGCATTGAGTATCATTTGTGGAGGTACAGTTTTTAGCCACAACTATAAAGGAAGAGACAAATGAGCCTTTAACATGTAGCCATTACTCTTGAATAGAGTACGGAGAACCGTTTCATGGTGTAAGGCCGAACGATGCTGACCTTGCTCACATTTGGTGCAACTTGTGCACGTTTTGGAGTTATCTGCTACATCGGAGTAGAAGCCAGTAGTGCAAGGTTTACAGACCGTTGCTTGCCCGTCTCTGCATTCCATTTCCACATGTTCACCTGTCAGACAGGACACAATTATAATCATAATAATAATTATGTGAATCTCCATCGCAATTATTAATAATTATGGTCACGTCCCTGATCCCCAGTCATCAATGCCTCTTGTTTCCCTCCTCTGAATCTGTCAGTATCCTTAATCACAGTGAAAAATAAATATATGGTATTTTTTTAAATGATGAATACTGAAAATTCTTCATGAATATTGCAAAAGCAGTCAGCCAAGAACAACAGATACCCACTGAAGGAATAAAGACAAAAAAAACACCTTTCAGTACCACACTTAGATTAACTTAAATTTCCTGTATATTTGTCTGCTTTATAATATTATACATAATTAACGCACAAAAGAAAGACTCCTACCTGGATTACAGAGTTTACAGCAAGTAATTCCATTTCTACTCCTAAAATATTTATCCTGTTGACAGGCGCTAACAAGTGATGCCTGAACAAATAAGAGGTACTTTAGTGTCACGTAAATACTGCAGCAACGAAGCTGATTCATGATCAGCAGGCTCTCTTCTACTCTCACCACTTATTGATGTTCTCAACGTGGCAAGATGATGAAAGTCAACTGAAAACCGCTATGGAATGAGTTTTATTCTGGTGGGCGTCAACTGTCTTTCCTTCCTTTGCTATTACCTTTTGTGTTTTTTACGCAGTTCAGTATCTTCAGACCCTCATGTGAACACAATAATATCGACTAGCATTAAGAGAAATATTACCTGCTTTGCTAAAATTTAATCTTCGGTAACACAGTGGCTCAACTCCAGTGTCTGAGTAGTGCGGCGGCTCTTTACACTGTTCTATACATAATTTATTAGGTCTTGTTTAGGGAGTTAAGTATCCAGCTCACAGGATCCTCATTGCTGAGGAGCTGAGCAGTTGGACCAGCCCAAGGAAACACGTAACACCTGGCTGTGGCAGATCGATGGCCATTTCCGGAGGATGAGACTGGACCATGTGTCGGCCTGGACGGTCCCCAACTGGATTCCCCAGATGTTTTGTCATCTGGTGCGACAATGTGCCGTGTCAGTGCATGCTCCTCTACTGGACCTGACCAGACCTGACCTGATTTTTTAAAAACTATTTTACTTGAATAACTGTTTATTTATATAATGGCAATTTTTTGGTATACAAGACTCATGAACCCTATAAACTACGTGGCCATTATATGCAAGGAAACAGACGTGACTCATTGTGGTTTTAACAACAGAAAAAACCGAGGTGAACATGAAATGTATTTTCCCAGTGGAACACAGGAAAACGTTAGAGATCAGTGTTCCCCAATAGGCAAACTGTGGGCCAAATTCGTGCCACAAGAGTTAAATGTCTGGCCCGTGCAGACCACCTCAGGGAAAATGGAACAAACACCCTCCCTAATTGCTTGGCAAATGTTATCATGAGAGGCAGCTCATCCACAGAGGTAGGTAGTACCTCCCTGATTTTTTAGATTAAATTGTGACACAATTGATATTGAATTGATTGAGGGCCCTTTGTGAAGTACACATACAGTGTACTCTTGATCAGTGTGTGGAAAGTTTTGCCCATTTATCTGGAGTGGACAAAAGTGTTCAATGGGGTTGAGGGCAGGGCTTTGTGTGTGCCAGTCAAGTCCTTCAACACCAAACTCACCTACTGTAAGACAATTTGGAGAATTCTATGTTTCCAATTTTGTGGGATCACTTTGGGGAAGGGCCCTTTCTGTTCCATCTTGACTGTGCCCCAGTGCACAAAGCAAGGTCCATGAAGATATGGTTGGGTGAGTCTGGTGTGGTAGAACTTGACCGGCCCACACAGAGCCCTGACCTCAACCCCATCAAACACCTTTGGGATGAACTAGAACAGAGACTGCGAACCAGGCCTTCATGTCCATCATCAGTGCCTGACCTCACAAATGCTCTTCAAGATGAATGGGCAAAAATTCCCACAGACATGCTCCAAAATCTTATAGAAGAGAGGCAACTGTTATAGCTGCAAAGGGGGGACCAACTCCATATTGATGTCTATGGATTTAGAATGTGATGTCATGTTCCTGTAGGTTACCCAATACTTTTGTCCATGTTGGCACCAGGTTGGCACTTTTACTTGGCTACTCCACACTATGCAAGCTATTCTTTGGTAGCTCTGGGCTTATGTTTTGGATCTTTGTCCGGTCGAAGTATGAATTTCATACTCATTTTCAGTATTTCTGCAGACTTCATCAGCTGCTTATAGCATGCATGCACATAAGGGTGTTGTTTTGATTTTGGGCTCCTTTGGCTTTTCTCAAGATATTTGGCATTATACTTTTGGGGAGAGTTAAAGGTGGAGGATTCATTGTCTATCCACTGTACTTCTTACTGATAAGGATTCACTTGTGCTTCTTGAACAGCCTCAATCATTTGAGACGTGGGTTCAGCAAAGTACTGGAAACACACCTGCACACAAGACAAGATGGATCCGTAAATTGAGACTATTTAGAATGGTCCCCTTAGAGCACAAAAGAAAGCCAGAATAAAAAAACAGTTAGTTTAAATCAGCAGAATTTCAGTCATTCATTGTCAGGTCAAGTTGGCTTTAATGTCGTGCCACATACAGTGGCAGGAAATAACATCCCCCGAAGACCATGGGGCAACATACAAACACACAGCAGCAGAGAGAGCAAGGGGGCAAAAACAGGACAGAATGAAACCGGGACACTGCATACTACACATTGATAAACAGAGCGCAATGTGTATGTGAACAATAAACAATAGAGCAGCGTAAGGCATGAAATAAATACAGTGACATGACTACTAATAAGTAGTAATAAGTTAAAGTGAGTAGTGGCAGTGGGGGGAAGGTGGAGAGCAGGGGAGGAACATTAAGGATGAAACTGATGCTAAACCTCACAGAACTGCTTTGGCAGCCCTTATGGGAATTTGCAGTGACCCGACATGCAGTTCCTCTTGTTAAGAAAGAACAATAAAGTCTTACTTATTTAAAGTTATATAATTAGACTTTATGTTGTATAGCATGGCTTTGGATGACGATAGAACAAATCCTAGCACACAGCCTCCTCTAGTGTCCAATTTGTTAACTGTGTGTCATGCGACATTAGCAGTTAGCGCCTGTGTACTGTTCATAATTTATCTGCTTCAAATATACTTTCGGAATTGATATGGTAAAAATAGTTTCAAAGAAGAGTACAATGTGACGTATCTCCCTCCATTTGGTAAATCGTACTGTTGTTCCCTTTCTAGCATATAAACGACTGATGATTCTGGAAGGTTCAGTGCAGAGGGTGTTTACACGCTGGATGCCCCAGTCACAAGCTGTCTTACAAGAAACACTGGGAGACACGGAAATGATGACATTAATGTGGTTTGGCAGCTTATTCCACTGTCGGGCAACCAGACATGAGAAATGTTGCAGACTTAAAAAGAAATGTTGGTGTTGGCGAACAAATGGAACATCTATGCTCGCTCTGAAGTAAACCACAATACTAAAGCTATCAAGCAGATCAGCAAATCCGTTACACGGAGCACCGTAACTTTCTCGGAACACGACGTGGACAAACATAGAAGAACGCACCATACTGAAGAACTCAATGACTTTCAGCGTGGCACAAACCATAGGATGCTACCATAGCAACAAATCAGCTTGTCAAATTTCTACCCTGTTAAACCATGCCCTGGTCAACTGTTAGTTCTCTTATGGAAAAGTGGAAGCATCTAGGAGCAACCACAGCACAGCCAACAAAAGGTAAGCCATGCAAGCTGACAGCAGGACCACAAGGTGCAGAAGTGTGGGACACACGAAAAGCTGCATTCCTCATCGGGCAGTCTGATGGATGATTTGGGTTTGGTGGGTACCAGGAGAACACTACCTACCTGAGTACACAGTGCCAACTGTTAAGTTTAGCGGAGAGGCCGTAATGATTGGGGCTGTTTTTCATGGTGTGGCCTAGGCCTCTTACTTCCAGTGAACAGTACAATAGTGCTTCCAATTTTGTGCCAACAATTTGGGGAAGGCCCTTTCCTGTTTCAGCAAGACTACCCCTCGTGTATAAATCGAAACCCATAAATCCATGGTTTGCCGAGGCTGGTGTGGAAGGAATTAAATGTCCTTCACAGAGCCCTGTACTCAATCCCACCGAACACCTTTGGGATGAATTATAATGTCGATTGCAAGGCAGGGCTTCTCACCCGGCATCAACAGAAGACCTCGGTAATGCTCTTGTGGCTGAGTGGACACAAATCGCTACACAAATCTAGCAGACAGCCTTCCCAGAAGAGTGGAGGCTGTTATAATGACAAAAGGGAAACCAACTCCATAGCAGTGCCCATGGTTTTGGAATAGGATAATCAACAAGCATATATAGGCGTGATAAGGTATCCACATGCTTTTACCCAAGTAGTGTATTCAATTCAAGTCCACCATTAATCTTGTCCCGAAAAAACTTGTCCAAATGTTGTTGCATGTCCAAATGACTTACCTCAACCGTCATGAACTGTTTTAAGAGGCTTCCCAAAGTCTACACCTGCTCCACACTGCCCAACAAACTGGAGCCACTACAGTTTGCTTACTGTCCAAACAGATCCATGGATGATGCACCGGCTCTCATCCTGCACTCTTCTCTCAAGCATTTGGATGACAGGAAGGGGAACTATGTGCAGTCCCTGCTCATTAATTATGGCTCTGTGTTTAATACAACAATCCCCACCAACCAGATCAGTAAACTCAAGGACATAACTCTAGATACCTTCCCCCTCCCAGAATAATATACCGGTATATACCAGTTTCTTTTTGCAAACAGCAGGGGGCAAAATTGTAATATACAAAGATCCAAGACCCCGTGCCAGGTAAGTGATGAGGTAATGTAGAGATGGCTGTACAGACATGAATGGAAAAAATAGAAGCAATACAGGACTATGGAAATTTCTCTTGCATATTCAGCGAAACCGGATCACAACTTTCATCTAAACTCAGACAGAGAATAAATGAGTGTAAGATGTAACTGTGTGTAAAGCTGCTAGTATTTAAAATAAGTTACTTAAGGTAAAGGAAATGAGACTTATTTGCGTGGAAAAGGTGGATCCCTAGCTAAGGGAAACATTTACACTTGCAACTAGATTAAATATATCCACGCCTACTACATTCAGAAAACTATGACATCACCCGCAATGCTCATTTGCAGTGGGTAAGGGTTGAACTTTAAAGAGTAACGTTTCATTACTGCTGAACAATACAGACACGAGGGCATTAATGACTCACAAAGGTCAAGTGCTTTCATTACTGTTTCCAGTTGTACAGTCCTTGGAACCAGGGGGGGAATTTCTTGGTTGGGTTTCAGAAGCAAGTGACTTGTGTCTCACACGGTGAAACAAGAAAGGAATGATCTTTTGTTAAAAATCAGGCCAGGGTGGGAAAATCCCTGTTTCATGAGAGGGAGGCCCAGAGACACCTCTGTTTGTGAAATGACTGACTACCTGCATAGAAATTACAATGTTAATATATCAGTTCGCATCAGATTAATTAACTGTTTTAGCATGAGAAGCATCACTAGTCATACAAATTTAAATCATTTATTTAGTAATGAAACAAACAGCATTCACATCCAGTGCACATATAAAACAGATAAAGGACTAAACCTGTCTACGGAGCTGACTAGTTATCAGGTTAGTGATTGCCTTTTGATTTCTGAATTTACATTTTTATGAACATTAATTTGATATAAGGCATGTTTTTTTACTCTTGGGTAGCCGTTTTAGGACAATGCACCATATGCTGAGCATAGACAGTTACAGGAAAAGCAGTGCACTGGCTACATCCCAATAATGTACAATATCTATGTATCCATCATGACAACAAAAGCATGCTTACAACTGCTGCTGTGTATGGGGTCGACCAAGGTTTGGCTTTTTTTTGGTCACTTTTTATAATATTCACAAATAAAGCTAGTGCACTGGTCTGTTTCAGACTGACACTGTATTTGCTATTGAAGATTAAGAATTATCACTGCAAGTGCAGTATTGTAAATTAGGTTCAGAAAAAAGTGCTTCCAACTGAACAATTAAAAAGTAATATACAGGGGTTGGACAATGGAACTGAACCACCTGGTTTTAGACCAGAGTAACTTATGAGTATGGTGTACTCCCCCCTTTTGTGGCCAATACTGAGAATGACGGACACAAGTCCTACACAGAGGCCAGAAGGATCTTGAGCCAGTCCTCTTGTGGAACAGTGGCCTGGTCACTACACGATGCTAGTGGAGGAAAACGTCTCCTGACTCTCTCTTCCAAAACACCCCAAAGTGGCTCAATAATATTCCAGTCTGGTGACTGCAGGCCATGAGAGATGTTCAGTTTCACTTTCATTTTCATCGAACCTCTCTGTCACCAGTCTGTGTGTATTGGTGCTTTATCATCCTGATACATGGGACCACCTTCAGGGTACAATGCTTGAGCCACGAGGTGAACATGGTCCTACACAATGGTTCAGCAGTCCTTGGCTATGATGCGCTCATCTAGAACAAGTAGTGGGCCTAGAGAATGCCATGATATTGCAGCCCAAACCATCACTGATCCACCCCGTGCTGCACTCAGAGTACATAACAGTCTGGGTGATAAGCCTCTTTGGTGCTTCTCCACACCCTAACTCTCCCGTTTCTGGGAAAGACAGTGAATGGTGGACTCATCAGACAATACATGTTTCACATTGTCCACAGCCCATGATTTGCACTGCTGGCACCATTGAAACTGACATTTAGCTCTGGCACGAATGACCAAAGGTTTGGCTGTAGCAGCCCGACCATGAATACTGACCATGTTGAGCTCTTGATGAACAGTTTTGGTGGAAACAGGAGAGTCAAGGAGCTCCACAGTGAGCTGGGCAGCTGTGGTTTTATGTTTCTTGGATATAATCCGGGTTAGTGGCCGGACATCCCTTTCATACAGCTTCCTCAACAGTTACTCCTACTGGATGTGGTTGGTCCTTCATGATGTGATATGACCCTGGAGACCGTGGCTCTCAATGCACCACAAAGACTTGCTGTCCTGGTCATAGATGTGGCAGCGAGATCCACCAGCAGTTTGTCCTTATTTGAACACTGATGTCTCCCATTATTGCAGTATTTCATGTACAGCTGTGCTATTGCTCTGCTAATTCAACCTTCACACTCGGCTCTTACTGATGATGTGGAACACACACACATTCAGTGAAGACTGGTCACCAGGCCACGCATATATAGGCAGGAAACCTCAAACACTATTTTGGCCAGTGCTTCAGTTTCATTGTCCAACCCCTGTAGATGGCAAATTACTATTATTTGAGGTAAAATATATAGTCAAACATTGACTGTATGTATTTACGTAGAAATGTTGTGCTGACATTTGATATTTCAGCTCTGGAGCCTACTATAATCAATACCTATACTGATTACATTAATCTAAAAATTAGATTGTTTCAGTTTTTTGTTTGTTCTTTTTTGGTGGAAAAAATACACAAAAAAAGTAAAAAAAAAAAAATAAAAAAACAACATTATCACAGTATCCCCTGGCTGGACTTTACCAGAGAAGATCGACTTACATCCCCGCACTCTTCCACAGGCCTTCGGCAGGCGCCATCTACAGGTAGAGAGGCAGTGGTGTCACACATCAGGATATACACTTGTAGGCAGGTCATAGAATGATCTCAGGACTTCCCAGGATGTTACAAACTGAGTATCCACCTGTTTTGTTCATTTTCTTCATATGCCTCTTCATGCATGGAATGATGACTTGTTTGCAGGACACAGCTGAGAGAGGGATCAGCAGAATGAGGCTCACGACATACAAAATTAGGCCTTTAAAAGAGAAGAAAGCAAAATTGTCTACTGTTCTACATCCCCGTGTAGGAATTGACAATAATTTGACACCTTGAATATAAAATGTGACAGAAGAGAAACAGCTCACCAGAACCGTAGTTGGTATCATTTACACTTTTTGTTGTTGTTGTTGTTGTTGTAGTTGTAGTGTGGCTTAGGGGGGGTGTGAGGGTCGAGTTGGTGGTAGCGGTTGTGGGGGACGTCTCTGCACTTGTCAGACTGCTGCGACTGTAGTTCAGGTTTACGGCGGTGCTATGTACGCTAGTCTGTGTCACCTCTGAACCAGTATTACAAACGACATCTGAGGTTTTTGAGCCCCCGGACTTCACTCCCCACGGTGCACAGCTGGGGAAAGACACAAAACGGTTTCACATTTCTTTTCTCTAGTTAACCAGTAAACTTGACAATAAATGGATGAATGTCACAAGAAACTGAAATATATGACATTACGTACTCTTTCCATTTCACACACAGCGTGTCAGCTTTGCTGGTGAAATATCCATAACCACATTCTCGACATTGCACACCTGAATCTGAAAGGAAATGTTTTTAAAAGCATTTTTTCTTTGTTCTACAAACTGCGCTTGTGGTAAACATCCATACTAAATATTTCATTAAAATTTCTTTTTTTTCCAAGAGTGTTGAGTTGAGCCATTTTATTTCAGGAATTACTTTCGAATTATCACATCAGTAACCTTACTGTTCCAGATAACATACATGTGGCCCTCTCTGAGTAGTATGGTTAGACATGACCCTTAGCATTTTAATAACAGATACAAAAAGATTCACATTTAAGTACCTGTTTTTGTCAGCCCAGATCCTTCAGGACACTGGCACAAGTCATCCCTCTCATCTACGGGGATGAATCCAACACGACAGCGACACTTTGCATCAGCTGTCTTAGTGCATTGCTGGACATACTCAGTTCCACTCCCTAGACATCAAAATAGGAAATATAAGGTTCCAGTTATGGAGCGATATGTGCAGAAGTAAAAACAGCAGTACAGTGATTTTTGTTCAGTTCATTTGACCATTATTAAATTATTCAATTATTCTAGTGCTCACAACATTTTCATACTAGCAGAACTTTACCCCTCTCCAAAATATACTTACCCTCATTACAAACACTGCAAAGATTACAGAATATATCGCTAGATGCGACTGGCTGGAAATGTCTGTCTTCGCAGGGTTCACACTTCTCTTTATGATACACTCTCTTCTGTCCTGTACATATTACACAGAACTTAAACAATTAGCATAAATGTTAATGTCATACACACTTATTGTGTTGCGACGGCACACTTCAGTGACACTTCTATAACCAACGAGTCCGTTTTTACCGTACCTGGTGCACAGGTGATGCCCAAGCATGGCAAGACGAAGCAGTGACATAGCAGAAAGAGGCAAAGTCGTAGAGATGCCATCCCAGAGCAGATGTCCAACTGGGAGTACTTTTGTATTGTAAGCTATATACTGTATGACTACTTGCACTGAAGAATTCAGAAGTGTTTTTTCTTCTCAGTGAAAGAACATTTGTAGTGAAGAACTCATGTCGTTTGCCAGATTTTCCTAAGCGTGCTGATTGGAGCAGCCAAGGGGGCGGGAGCTTAACCATGAGGGCAAGGTTCTTAGGGGAGGCTGAACTTAACCAGCCGTAGGTAAACAAACATCAAAATGCATGCACAATGTATTCCATTACGTTTTGTTTTATTCTTGCATATATGTATATGTAGTATATACTTGAATACTTGTATCTGTCTTGCTTGTCTATCTTGCTTGTCGTTATTAGGGGTCCATACATCCTTTATATATGGCAGAATTGACAATAAGGGCTTTCGACTTTGATTATGATCTACAGAATGTTTCCAAACTGCATTTTACATAATAATTTGAAATAATACATTTTTTTTGTTTTGTATAAAATATTAAAAACAGCTATTGTCACATTGTCACTGTCAGTCGTTTGGCTTCTAAAAACATTTGTATTAAAAGAGAACAGTAACACAAATAATACATCTTTATTCAAACTTACTGTTTAGGAAAAACATATGAAAATGTAAAGTGTATATTTTTAAAATACAAAAAAATACATTTCACATACTTCTATATCAGCCTGATCCTTCACAAGCTGCTTAATGAGATATAATACAAATGTCAAACAATTCAATTAATTTTATTTTTATATAGCGCCTTTCACGACAGTCGTCCCAAAGCGCTTTACACGGATGTGTTATGATAGATAATCATTAGAGAGAGTAATACAGAACGGGAAAAAGGAAGGAAAGAAATTAAATTTAAAAAGGTAGATGACAATGGAGGAGAGGAACTTTCATATATTCCAACAACTCAACTGAACACATAATGGTAAGTCAATTGAATGAAAAAATAATAACAAACTCAGAAAGTTTTTTTTTTGTAATTATTTGACAAAACTGCTTCCTTTTTTTGTACAACAGATGCAAATAACTCAAAACAAAGTTTTAAAAGGAAAGAAAAATGACAAACAATTTAAATGCTTCACTCAGCAACATCTTAAAAACTTTAAATAAAAATATGCCTGAATGGAGTTTGCGAGTCTGTTGGTTCAACCCAAGTTATCAACTACTGGCACTAATGACCATTCAATGACCATTAAAGACCAAACTTCCTCCTTGTGTATGCACAAACATTCTGCACGCATGACATCATCATGCCTACCTTATGGTGTGGCCAACAGGTTATTCCATCCTATGGTCTGTGTGTATCCCAATGCCCCAGTGAAATGACCAGGGCCCTGTGCTGTAAAAATGGTGCTGTCCTTTGGATGAGATGTAAAACCGAGTTCCTGACTCCCTGAGGTCATAAAAGATCCCTGGGCATCTGTGGAGAGTGTAAGGGTGGTACCCCGAGGTCCTGGCTAACACTGTCCACTGTGGCCCTATCAAATCCGGCCCCCTAATCATCCCCTATATCTAACTGGTGAACTATCTCCTGCCCCTTCACCACCTTAGCTACTGTGTGGTGAGCGTACTGGTACAGAATGGCTGTGTTGCATCATCCAGATGGGGGCTACACAGGGGGGGTGGCTGGAGTGGCTCCCGATTGGTTCTGTAAAGCGCTTTGGGTGTCTTGAAAATGACAGTCATGCCCTGTGACGAGTGGAAGAAAAGCACTTCAGGGTTAGGTTACTACAGGGTTAGGTTACTACAGGGTTAGGTTACCAGGAGGGGGTCTTCATTTTCACTATAACTCTCCGGTGTTTGCTGTCATACTTCAGAATTTTATTAATGACACCCCCAGGCGCCGAGTTAACTATAAAGACTGCAATTCAAAATGAAATAGTTCAGTGTACATCGCAAGTCGGGATGATACAAGACGGGTTTCTCAGTTCTCTTAGCGTGAGGTGTAACTTCATCAAAATCACAGCCAATAATGTGCTGGTTCCGGTGAGCTGGTTACAGGTGGCACCAAGGATTCCGTCAAAGCAAGATGTTCATTCCACCCGTGGGATTCTAACGGACCTTTTTCCACAAACTTGCTGCACCTCTGACACCCATGATAGGTAGTGACTGAATTCATTATTTAAGCTGCATGGGTGTTACAGGAAGTGCTGCTCTGTACCTGCTGCTCTGTACCTGCTGCTCCGTACCCGCTGCTCCGTACCTGCTGTACCTTTTGCTGTCCTCACACTGCACATCATTTTACCTTTCTTGGTCGCAATAACATGCTCATGAATTATTGAATAAATGCACCTGTCTCTGCAGCCTCACATGAATGGAAGCAGATACGCATTTATATGTCACATTCTTAGCCTTGATTCAGCTTTCAAAGTTTATGTCTGCCAGCTCAATAAGTGATTTTTTCCTTGCATTATTCCGTAAAGTTTACTTATTAGATTTGTAATAACTTTACTTACACAATTAATTGATTCAACAGCCAAAAGAAATTATTTAATTAATGATACCTCCATCCATCCATCCATCCATCCATCTTCCACACCACAATCCAGTACAGACTCATTGGGGTTATACCTATCATTCTTTTTAGATGATTTAATCATATCCATTACATATACACACTGCATTATTATTATATATTATGAAAACTTTTAAACTGAATAGCATTTCCTCTGATATTTACCACATCACGTGCAAAATTTCACGATGACTAATCACCTATGAAACTGAAAATAATTTTATGATGATGATGAAGATGATGATGATTGTTATTATTATTGTTATATTTTTTTTATTATAGGGCTTTGTGGAATTACAGGGATACACAGTGAGCTGGGAGTTTCCATGAGGCTCCATGATTTTGAAATAACCCGAATGAATACCGCCACCAAGTCTGTACTTTATGTTTCAATGAGTCAACTTGCTGTGAAGGTTCAAAAAGTAAAAAAAATTGTAACCTTTCATCTAACCCTGAGTGGGCAAGAATCCCACTCAATCAGTTTTTTTCAGTCGTCTTAATGTGAAGATTGTCTTAATTGGAGAATGTACGACGTCATAGGTTTCTGGGTCGGATCAGTTTAGGTCCGGTTGGGGAGCATCAGCGCGTTGCTGCACCCACCACATGATGAAGCACCTTGGGATCCTGGCTGGCGACTCCCCAGGCAGACACACGGTCCAGCCCCACCCTCCGGAAATGGCCATCCATCTGCCGCAGCCAGATGTTACGTGGGCGTCCCCTTGGCACAGTACCGAAGGAGTCCAGTCTTCGTCTCAGCTCACTGGATAGCGTCCATGTCTCACAGCCATACAGTAAGACAGGAAGCACCAGGACTCTAAAGACCTAGACCTTCATCCTCTTGCAAAAAAACCCCTTTCCGGCGACCTCATGACCCCCCCAATCCATCTGCTGACTTCATAGGAAGACCTTACAGAGACTTGAGTGTTGCTGCTGAGGTAAATGAATCTCTCGATGAGGCTGACATTCTCCCCGCAGACAGACACACTACTGATGGCTATGCCTAAGAAGTCATTAAAGGCCTGCATTTTGGTTTTTATCCAGGACACTCACAACCGCAAACACTCAGGCCCGCTCCCCGGTCTGCGTACCTCAGAGAGCGCTGCCACTGAAACACAGAGTTTACGAAGCTCCCCCGACAGCAGAGGGAGATGGTCATCATGCCGGTAAAACAAAATGGTCCACCCGCCTACCCGGATGGGCCGCCTCAAACTGGGACCCGAGTGCTGCCATGCAGCAGGCGACACCTCAGCACCACACCAACCCCGACCCCCAACAGGCCTGAACTTGGCTCTCCAACAGTTTGGACTCTTCCAGGGATGAGACTCCCAAAGGCTTTCCCCCATTCCCTTCATGATGCGTGCAGCAACAGAGCTACTCCCGCGAAGAGCAGAAGGGCATCGTGCCTGTTTGACCCCAGCTGCTGCAATCCCATCACGGACCCCCAAAATTTTTCCCTGGAAGTTGGAGGACCATTTGCAGAATAACTTCACGCCCATTCGGATTTCCCATTATCTCAAAATCATGGTCAAAATTGTTGCATTTTTTTTCGGCAGTCTGTTCATACGATTTGATAATTCTTTAAACTGGCAAGGAGTAGACCATATTTACAGTAATCTTTGGGAAAATGTAAAATCATGGCATATTGACATATTGATATATGTTTAGAAATAGACAACTGCCTGGTTATTGACACATTGTCATTAGCTAATTTTGCAATCGCAAACATAGACAGTAGTTAAATTCTAGGTCAGGTAAAGGAAAAGAATAAACATAAAACAACTAAATAAATAAAAGAAGAGGGCATTGTGGACCAAAGCTTTTGTCTAGATTTAAAATCCCCCTCCTGCAAATTAAAGCTTTAAATGAATGTTTGCCTCATTCATAGTGATGCAGTTTCATTCCCAAATCTGATTCAGCATGCTGCAGCCACAAAGTCGGCTGTCTTTAAGGGCTTGAGGGGAAGAACAGAAGTTCAGAAAGCTATTTTGATCTTAATCAGCACCTTTTTCCACTAATTTGCCATTTTTAACATAGAAATTGAAATTGATTCGAAAAAATAAAGAGATGTCTCTTACTGCAGAAATTTCCACAAATCGACATCATTTCCTCCCTGCTGCATTTCCTTTGTTACTGCCACCTGAGATACCATCACTATTGTGAAGATCAAACAATGTTCTGATGATGCAGGTTCTATTTTCCCACATAAATATTTTTACCTGCATGATAAACCGAGACGAGTGGTTTTGTTTAATATTATCTTAAATTATCCACATTACAGATGAATTTCTTTGCTACTGATGAGGTTTTCTTAATCAACCCACTAATTTAATTTCAAAACCCACAAAATTCATTGGAGACACAGTACTCTAATACCTGTCCAACAAAACACCGAACTTGGGTTTCATTATACCCTGGACGGGATACTGGATCCTTATAGGGCTTCGTTACCTATTCAGTCACAGTGGTGCTTCCATTTCACCTAAAATGAATATTCCGACTGCAGCAAGAAAGTGGACTACCAACTGAAAAACTGGTTTTATCATCTAATTCAACCCACTTTTTAGGTCTCAAGAGCAATGCTCTTCATGTTTTATATTTTCTTATATCTTTTTGGAAGGTAGACTGAGGCTCACACCAAATATCATGTTCACTTTCGTAATAAATGAATGTTAGATATATCCATACATCTGCCATAGGTGCTCAAGTACATAGTCATTTAATGTACGTTAGACAGATAATAGGAAAAATGTAACAATTATGCACAAGCCAAATGAATGCCTTGGAACTGTTAATGATAAAATTGGCCACTTAGTCACTGCTGTTTACCTTGGACTGGACATTCTAGCTGGTTAATATTAAATTCACCAGATCCCCCAGTGAAGTACAGAAAGTGCATTAGAACATTACTTTATTCCCAGAATAGTTTCTAAACTAACACCTTTTAGGATAACAAGAAATTTCAAAGTTTTTTCATATATCCCTTAAAAGCTCTGGTACTTAATTATTTTTTGTGCGTAAAATTATGTTAGCATAATGTTAAAATTTACTACAAAGAGATTAAGTATGCTAAGAATGTAAGTCCTTGCAAAGTTTGTCTTCCCTTTTTAGGTCATCACAAAAAAGGGGGTTGGGGGGGGGGGGGAAACAAGTCGTCTGTGCGGGAACCGGAAATTCTCTGCCTGTAGGCTGAGCTTAAAAATGCTTGCAGAAAGGTGGAAATTACGTGTTTTATATGCCCTGCAAACCCACACAAAAGCAGCTACCTTATTTCTTGCGCATTATTTTACTAGAGCTATATTAAATATTGCAGGTTTACACCTAAATGATATGGTGTTTTATTCTGTAGACCAATAAGTCCAGGTTTCCTTGCTCTGATACACCTCAAAAGTCGTGTTTTCCAATCCACTCCCATTTTTCATGAATAGTGTCATAGTGTAAGATTCTGGGAGAATCAAAAACCTACTTCTTTATTTACTTACATGTGCCGTATACTGTTCTCTGTGATTGGTTAATCTTCATAATATGTTTGCATTTGTCTTGTGGGTAAGATCCTCTGTAATTCATCAGACTGCCTAGCATGGCAACAACCTTTATACAGGCATGCAGCAGAGTGACAAGGAAAACAAACATATTGAAAGAGTTCATGGTTTTCTCTCATTTGTCTACTAGCATTTAAGCCACATTTTTCAGTTATGTAAATGATTCACACAAGTACATTTCGTAATAGTGGTAATAATTTTGTTTTTATATTTTTATAAAATCATTGCTGTTCCAAGTCATGATAGTATTGTTTCAAATTATTCTTCTCATGGGATTTGAAAGATCTGGACCAGAAAGTAATAAAGTGTAAAAAGTTTAATTTTTTTAAAAAGTTTTGTATTCGAATTCGGATAATTTGAAATGATCTGTACGATCTATACTTTTAAAGCAGGAAAAGATTCATTAACATATGGTAAATCAAAACAACATTTTTAGACAAAAGACAATATTATCTTTTCTCATGGAAAGTATTTTGATAAATATTTGACTTATTCATCAAGCATAATTTAACTTTGCATTGTAACTTTAATGAACAACAAGATTTAATAGTTAGAACCCACTCTTCAGCGATGAAGCATATTTTAACATAAAAGTACTTCTGTATCTCTAAGGAAAGAAAAATCCTTTAAATTAGAAAGAAAATATAATAAATCCATCCATCTTCCAGCTGCTTATCCTGAGCAGGGTTGTGTGGGGGACCAGGAACCTGACCCAGGCATTCTGGGACACAAGGCTTGGGTACACCCTGAATGGGATGCTAGTCCATGTCATGGTATATTTAAAGATGCCCATTAGCTTAAATGCATGTCTTGAGACAGCTGAAGGAAACCAGAGTGCATGAAGTAGAACCTGCACAGTGTGGAGGTGTGTGGCAATGGTGCCATCCATTGTCCCAGCCCACGTTATATACTACAGCCACGTAGAAGACCTGACACTGCAGATGGGTGATTGCATAGGTTGGCTATTAGGGGTAAAGGGAAGCCGCTTTTGAGTATATAGAGTTTCACATGCGTTTTTTAAAGCAGTTATCCTTCCAGTTTTTGCGTGGCACACTTGATGCGGCTGTTCTCTCGGAGGTTACGCAGGCGAGCGTTGCGACTTGTTATCTCTTCTACGTAGGTTAAGGGGAACCAGCCCTGCTCTCCGTCACATAACCGAATCCCCTCAACCCAGCCTAGGAAAAAAAATACACACACACACATATGTAAAGCCAGCGTTCCCCAGAAATACACAAAAAAAAACTGTGGTTATATAGTATTTAGGTAGTATTGTTGTGTTACCATCACTGGTGATATTCTTTGCTTGTAAAACATCTGCCTTCTCCAGTGAAAGCTCATCGTGTTCCAGAGCTTGGTAGCTCTTGATACATTGCACTTGAGCGATATCTGTAGGTGAGACAGAAACAGAGTTTCCAAGAACTACAGCAGGATGTCAAGATGGCTTACCTAATCCTTTGCAACATTAGCAATGTGTTGAACGTGGTGCCGAAATATGTGTGTGTGTTGGGGGGGGGGCAGGTGACTACAGTTCATCGCATTGAATAGACATGTATGTCCCTTGTTCCCCTTATAATTTATATATTGCGATTTGTTCTAATTGCCTCCAGTAAATCAGACCACATGGACACTAAACACCAGTAGCTATGCACTTTAATTTATCCCTAAACACCCTTCTGTGTTCACTGCAATAACATTTTAATAATATTAAGATGCCATTTGTGTTGTGCTGCTCCTGTCTTTCCCCCCCACACACTTTTCTTCCTGAAAAGGAAAACTTCAGCGACCAGTTCATTCTCCTTGCTCAGTCCCAGTGGCCTGCCAGTCTGCCCAGTAGCTGTAATGTCTCTCACATCAGCGAAATACACTGACATAAAGGATAACATGGCATCGTCATTCATTGAATGCTGTTGAAATGCTTCTTGAGAAGGTTCTTTATCTGTGGCGTTAGAATGCACTTTTTAAATAGATGGAGGCAGGACAGGCTGAGGGCTCTTTGAAGATATAGGAGGAAGGAGTTTGAGTTGTCATGGATCATGCGTCACCATTTATTACCACCATACTCACCTCCATTCTCACTAATCTGATCTCCGCTTGTCTCTGGATTTGAAGGGACCATGGCTGTGATCCAGCGTTGCTTTTCACTCCTAAGGGGATACAAAATCAGCTGTCAGGTTTTTCTTTTGCATTCTGCCCCAGCATGAACTTCTCATGAACTCCTCATTTTCCCTTTAGGTTCGTAAGAACAAAAGTTTCTGTAATGACTGAAATAGAATTTGCGAATTACTTAGGAACTTCAATGGAAAAACTTGGCCATTCAAAGCAAAAAACTAGCAATGTGTTTACAAGGCATGCAGGTTCTCCCGGCTGCAGGTGCCGGCTTTAGCAGATGTAAGGAGAACGCTGTCATTCCTGACTCACTCTGTGCGAGCCTTCAGCAGGATCTGATGTTTAAGCAGCTGCCCCTCACACAGCTGTAGGTGGAAGATATACCCTGAGATGCCCTGTAACTTCTGGCTGATGTCCTGAACTTTCAGCTCTGTGATTTTGGCATGCACGAAGACCATGAATTTCCACATGCTGTGACAGAGCAAACAGGCAAAGTAAATTTATTCATGGGTCCAGGTGAATCTAGGCCATGCACACCGTCAGTCAAACGTTTTTGCATACCACAAGTTTTTTTTTTATACCTCTTTTCGATTTATTTCATAAACTGCATACTTTTTATTCTTATTAAGCATTGGAAAGTTGAGTGAACTATAAATGAAAATATAAGCCAAATAAAACAAGTTTCCTGTATAAAATGGAAAGAGTATGTAACAGTGCATGTCTGACATCCAATGAAGTGGTTTTATGATGATGGCATAGTCAAATTCTAGGTTGTTCTTTAACTTTAAATGCCCTAGTTATGAGTTTCCTCCCATGAAACAGTGCGGTATTTAATGTCCCTTGCAGAAAGAATGCCTCAAATTTTTTCTGCTGTTAGAGGAGGTTAGTTTGATGAATAGAATGAAGAATGTTGAGTAGTAAATGTTAAGTGAGTAGCCTGCAGATGCAGCAAATCTTAGTGCATGCAAAAACTTTTGATTGGCAGTGTATTTTTGAAAAAAAAATCGATGTTTATTAATGTATATAAATAGAACGGACATAGCCGTCTTGAAGCACTCACTCTTTTCTTCGTGACAGCAAAAGGCAGTCGTTAAACAGATGCAGGTAGACTGGCCGGGTCGGCAACTTGAATTTGGACCCAGAAATGCTCATAGTCTGCGTGTCCACTTCTAGTAACTCTCCATGTTTCACCAACCAGCGGGACTGAGAAATAAGGGGGAAAATCTGAAGACAAGAAATAGCAATACTTGTGAATATGCAGCAATGTTGTATTAGATATCCAGCAAATAAATACTTACGGGAACATTTCAGGTCAAAATGAATGAGATCAATGGGTATCATTTGAATTTTCTGAATAGATACAATGCAGACCATGTTCTGGATCAGTCTAGCATATAAATCTTAAAACAGTAATGTTATACACCTTTCATGGGTGGCTATATAGGGTAGGGGTATCAAAATGTGCTGGCCAGCTGCATTTCTGCTTCAACATGCTCCTTCAAGTACTTCAAAAAACGGGGTAATGAGTTGGAATGAAAACCAGCAGATACACGTCGCTCCAGGAACTGACTCTGATCTAATGGCGACAGAAGTAGCAGTGGTACACTACCAGTGAAAAGTTTGAGTACACTTGTTGAATACTTGGTTATTTCATAATGTTATGTCATACAGTTTTCATAAAAATATATATATGCATGACAAAACATAAGGAGTATTCAAGGAAATAGAAAATTGTCTCCAGATCTTGGATTCCTCAAAATTGGCAGACAACTTAATAAATATAAGGCAATAGGTTTCACCAGGAAATCATTTGAGATGCCTCCCCAGCTTCTCAGCGGCAATTCCCAGAGATGTATGGTGATTTTGGGTTGTTCTGCCTTGACTCCTCTCTCCATGTTGTCTTATGCCGGTCATAGGTCCTTCACCGAGGAGAGGCGGGGCCAATGGGCGAGCCCACTGATAGGCCCTTCACCAAGGGGAGGCGGGGCCAAAGGCGAGCCCACTAATAGGCCCTTCACCAAGGGGAGGCGGGGCCAAGGGCCTTTTTTTACACATTGTAAAGATTATTTCGTAAAATAAATGAAAAACCCAAAACTCTAATATCATAACGAACTAAATCTTGTGTTCCCTATTACCCAAATATCAGCTTCAAATTTCTGATATCCAAATATCTGTAGCGATAAACAGCCCTATAGCTGTAGCTATTCTTTTAGTCCAGTCTGAATTTCCTGGCAGAAGTGCCTTAATTGCTGTGTTGTGTCTGAATTCAGGGGCTGCATACTTCAAAGAACATAGTCTACACAGCCATCTTGAATTCTAGATTTCTGACATTTCTCTGACTTTCAGAGTCAGAATTCCGACGTCAGAGGGCGCTTCACTTGAAATTTCCAACTGAGAACTCAGAATGTCTTACTTCTGAGTTCTATAGGAACACAGCAGAAGTTATGAACTGATCCCATGTTCATTCATCATTAATTGATCATAATGATTCATGTGTTTCATACAGGAATTATATTAGTGCATGATTTTTTGAATAGTAACTGAGTAACTAATTTATGTGTTCTCCCCTTCTCATGAGCTTGCCACCTCTGTGTTTCACAAATACATGGCAGTTGGACCCATATATTTAAAGTTTTGTCTTAATAGTCCATAATAGCAAACTCCATCCTGTTAATAGACAAGTATTTATAGTTTAACACATAAGAAGTTATGGCTTCAAACAGGTGCACTCAAACTTTTGAATGGTACTGTCAGTAATGGAAAAGTTTATAATTTTGTAATATAGCCCTTTCACTGCAATGCCTCAAAAATAATGTACTAATGTTTTTTCAGTATGAAAGTTAAAAATAAAAATGAGCTTGTGGACATTGTTCCCTAACAATAATTATGAATGATTTCATGGCTATCATTTAAAAGTTATACCTGTAACATTTCTCAATAATATCACAATGTAATATTTTGCTGTCTTCAGAGTATTTTTTGTATCACATTTAGCTTGTTACTCTGACTTTTTAAATATTTTAGTGACATTCCTGTGATCTATTTTGTGACATATTCTGAAGTCTGAATGTATTCCTATTAGTCAAGTTTTAACAGTTCTGATTCCTGTGTAATATTCACATTGACTTTGAAAACAGTTTTTCCTGGAAATAAATATCTTCCCCTACCTTGCCTTCAAAGTGGATTTTCTTATTCAGGTGAATGAGCTCTTCTGTTCTCTTCATTGATTGGACACTGGAGTTACACTCTTTTATTATCTTTAAAATTTGAGAAAATGGACACGATTTGTTTTCAGTGGAATAACTGCTGTCCACTAATGTAATACATTAACTTAGGCCTAAATTTTGCATGTAAGAAACTATTTCACTGGCCAAGAAATTATAAAGGAATGTGTAAATGACAGAAAATTGATTATAAGCAGGCATTTAAATGTTAATAGTGTGTGATTGAGATGCAATAAATTATGAATACCTATTCTGCAATATACTGGGAGTTTCACTATGAATCAGGCACAATAAAACTGCCTTTATACCTGCTCAGAAGTAATTTATCCCTATTTGATGATGTACCTTTTTGAGCTCATTAAAGGCCTTCGTGGCGGTATCTTCATCTCGAGACCCCGGGGCGGTTCGCTTTAGGATATTCTGGAGAAAAATGAAAATATAAAGAATATTTTTGAAAGTTTATGGCAGTTTTTACTGTGAAGATCAATGACTAATGAAAACAGGGCATCATATTACAGTCCGGCAGAACGTCGGATTAGCGGAAATGTCGGACACTGGGAGATGTTAAGACAAAGCCTATTAAATGTCAAACTATGTTAGAATTTTACACATTACGAACCTAATAATCATATCCGTCCAACGCCAAAGTCCTCAGATACCTTCTGCATTGTCTCTCCCTTGTCCAGTCTCTCGATTGCCTCAAGTTTTTGTTGCATCGAAAAAAACTTTATTTCGTTTCGTCGCCATACTACTGTACTTGCGTAAATTTCAACTTTTAAACAACACAACAACGTTTGTCAAATTAACACGCACAGACACATACGCATGTAACAGACGATAAACCGATCCGCATACAATGATAAACTGCGCTGCCCTGAGTAGTGAGTTGTGACTGTGAGTGAGTGAGGGTGGAGCGAATGGCAGACATGAGTCATAGTGTAGATGAGAGCACCACTGTACAGTGGGGGGAACTAATTAGCTGCGGTAGAGTCGGGAGCAACAAAGAATAGACTACGCTCACGCTCGCAACTTGCAGTCTCTACTGTATGTACATCTAAGATGCTTCAGTGATTGCAATTCATTAGTATATAAGTGTTTTATCCAGTCCAGTTAATGGAAATTTGAAGCTGAATCTTTTTCACTTCTTTCATTTTGCTACTTGATTTTGATTTTACCTGCCTTAAGTTTAATTTCGACTGCTGCTTGGTGCCCTAAGAAAAGCACTGAAAATGTTTTAATTCTATTTAGTTATTAATTATCAAAGCAGTCCTACCTCCACCAGCATTTTGAGGCGTGTAATCCTCTGAAATGGAAGGATGAGGAATGAAGTGAGGGGGAGTCTTTGACAGGTGGGATGTTCCTCTAGACGGGCCAAGATGCCGGGGAAGCGAGGATTCTCCTGTCTAAAACAGAGGGCAGGGTCATAGGTGGGATTTGGATGGTGCAGAAGGTATCATATGCTGGGACCATGCAGAGAGCCTCCCTATAGACAGAAGCTTGCTAATGGTAACAATGGCACCTCAGAAACACCACTGCCTTCATAAAAAGCAGCCCTACATGTAAACTCTATGTTCTCACAGAAGACGCTGATAGGTCTGTTCCTGATAGGCCTGGTTGGTGACGTAGGGCAGGTAGACCCTGCGCAAGGCCGGGCAGTGCGCAAGAACAATGTCACACACATCAAAGCGTAAGATATCCTCCTCCAGACGCTGCTCCAGATCCTGCAGAAACCTGAAAAGGGAGGCTGACATCACAATCACACGGGTCACAAAATAAAGGAGCTTATCTCTTAGCCTGCACTGAGCTAACATGGTGTGGAAGAGCCTGTTGGTGCATCCTTCACTTTCCTAGTGAGAGGCTCCCTCATAAATTCACTATTGTGAACATCTTTGTTAAATCGACCATTTAGGGCTAAGAGTGATTGCTCCATGATCGGATATGACACCCAAACAAGTAATCAAGATAATGAAATGGAAGGATGTCAAGCTGGCAGGAGAGCTGCATAGGCATGCAGGGGGACCAGGTTCGAGGCTGGGAGTATTCTGCCCAAGACCAGCCCATTTTCTCTTCGTTCTGAAGGAACTTTGAGAAATAATGCCAGCAGTTCAAGTTTTATTAACCCATCAGATTTATTACTGATATTTCAAGAGGAACATAAATAATCACTATCATGTTGAATTGTTCAAGCAGTCTGACTTTCTCAGCCTCGCCTGGTCTCTTTCTAACATTGTGGGGAACATTTTGTGGGGACTAATCCACACACACACACACGCACACACACGCACACACTGCTATACCTCTCACTGACATCCTTCACTTCAGGTAGCTTGGAGAACAGCCAGTGCCTGTCCTGGGCACTGAGACACTCCGCCAGCTCACGGGACATCATGAAGTGGTCCACAACTATCGTCAGGCTGCGGGCGTAGGAGGCTTCAGAGGTCACCAGCTCAAATTTGGCCTGCCATGGTAGAAGAAACAGCCTCTCTGCATTTTAACCTATCAGTCATTCCATGGCACTTCTTGCTGAATACCATCCATTACTTAAAATCCATTACCATCCATTACTTAAAATCCATTACCATCCATTACTTAAAATCCATTACCATCCATTACTTAAATTGTATTAGATTGATTCAGTTTTAATAAAATGTTCACACTGATCAAGAGCTTGAAAAGCATAGGATTCGTGCACCAGTGCATCTGCCGAACAGCTCTGTGGATCAATGTCTCTCAGTCAGGTTTCAGTTATCGCCATCCTCACCCTTGCTATTCCCTCTCACCTCCTGTAGTTTCCGCTCCTCGTTGCTGAAAGTGTCCAATGTGCCACTAGTGCGGACGTCTGGAATGTCCTGCCACAAGGAGAAGGCTGAGCCCCATGAGGAACGGAAGGAGCTGGCTGGAGATAGGTTACCCGGGGGCGTGGCTTCGCCCGCCACGTCTTCCCCTAGCCCCTCCTCTTCACCCCCAGGCTCCGCCCCCTGTTGCCTCTGGATTTCTCTATTGATGGCGACGTCACTGTACTCCTGGTACAGTAGCACTGAAAGGAAGAGAGGTGCATGATGTAAACATGAGGTGATGATGGTTTGAGTTAATCCAGTTTGACACAGGCAAAGTAATTCAGTCTAAAAGGGGATGCATAAGCGTGGTTCTTGTTTGTTAACATGCTAAGCATTCGTCTTTAACTTATAATATGAGGAAGAAATGCATAGCAATTTTTGTGGTATAAAAATTTAAAAAAATTTTGTTTAGGCTTATTATTATTAATAGCTCATTCGCTGTTGGTCCGCAAATGTATGTCTGTGTCATTTTAATTAGTTTTGTACATGTTTGCTGCCTTAATAAGCATAATAATAATAATAATAATAATAAAGAGTAGCAACAGAGCGTGTGTGTTGTTTAAAGAGTATTCAGGTCTCAGAGGTAGTAGGAAATCCTACAGTTGGGCAGGAATCGCGAGAGGCGCTTGGGGCAGCTGAAACTGGACGGGCTGCAGGCCTCCTCTTCTATGGAGTTTTTCCTCATGCTGGGAAAGATGACAAATAAGAACAGTCAAGGATTTTTGCTAGCGTTTTACATTTCTACAAATAAAATCTCTTGTATTTACCTAGTACCCATATGCTGTACACCTGTTAAGTCAGTTAAGGCAGCTCTGAGGCTAAGGATCTATGCCAGCAACTGGAAGGTTGCTGGTTCAAGTCCCGTGAATGCCCACAGTGATTCTACTCTGTTGGGCCCTTGATCAAGGCCCTTAACCTGCAATTGCTTCATCCTGGGTATGACGTTAATCTACATCCAGACCTATAAGGAGGTCTGGATATATATATAACTTGCAGGGAATAACTTGGGGGGTTGGTGGCAGGATTGACACTCCAGCCACCAAAAAAACCTCACACTGTCCCACTTTGGATTGGTGTGGTGCTGAGCTTTAACCCGCCACATGGCTTCACTCAGGTTCTCATCCCTGAGGTGATTTGTCCTGTGCTGGGTGTGGCAATACACTGTAATCAGTTTGTGCTCCTATCCTCTGTTAAATTATGAACAAATACACTTTAGATAAAAGACGACTTACGAGTCATTAATGATGAACGAACGTGAGATCAGTGTCTCACTTGTGTTATTCATCACTTGTTCCTTCAGAGGTTTACAGAATTAACAAATACAGTAACTACTTTAGATAAAAGACGCATCACGATTCATTAATGATGAACGAACATGAGATCAGTATGTAACTAAGACTTAGTTTGTGGTTAATTGATACATAAGTAATAGCTCAATACTATATTATTTATGCCCTGTCAAGTAAAGTGTTGTTTTAATATATATTTAATATATAAAAACTCGTATTAAGTTACTAATCTATACTAGGGTGACCAGATAATCCATGTCAGGGAGGACACTCTGAGGTAGGACAGGAATTGTAAATTACCATTTCAATTAAACGGACCTGGATTTCACTTGAGCACTCAGCTCTTGCTGTGTGCTGATTGGTCAGTCTCCTATAATCATGCATGTGTCACTAATGCTAATGTGAAACAGCTGGATGAGTCTTTCAGGCAAGGAAACAAACCAGTCAAAGCACAAAAAGAGCTAAACTATTTAGCCGAGCACAGGAGCCTTTCAATTAGAAAGTAGTTTGTAAAACCCGAAGTAGCTCAAAGTGTCCTCCCTGACATGGATTGTCTGGTCACCCTAATCTATACTAAGATATTTATACTCATTCTATTTTTATATTCATCACAGGTAGGAACCTCCTTCTGCTTCCGGAACTGTTTCATGGGGCCAGTTGAGCATCTGGCCGTTCTACTCAAGCCACTCTTATTGACAAGAACTGAACCTCTTAACCCCGACTGTGTGTTGTATGCATTCCATTTGCAAACATTATTAACTGTTTGGAGGAGCAAAACTGTTTCTGTTACTAAACAGATGCACCTAGTTAACTGGCCATTGAATGATAAAAATATTGTGACGGTTGTAATTTTTGAGGTCACCTGAGTCTGATACTGCCTCTGTTAGCTGTCTTATCCACAGAGGGAAGTACTGGCCCTGAGCCCATCGGGCTGTTGGGGGCGCTGTTGCTGGTCCGCCCTAGGTCATAGTCCTTTGAGTGAGGTTTACCTAGGACAGATGGTCAGTGAGTTATACAAGTTGGAGTTTCTGAGATACACTGCACTGTAGCGTATTTGACAGGGTGCATACTTTTCACGCAGCACTGTTGACTTCGAGAGCATGCTGGGAAGCTAGCACGCGCCGCCGTGGCGTCCGACTTACCGCTGGGGCTGAGACTGCGAGGGAGCTGGCGGTCGCGTGAAGCTATGCGGGCCGAGAGGGACTTGCCCAGCTTCAGCGTAAAGGAGCTCTTCCTCTGAGAGAGCTGGAGCCTGGAGATAAGCTCTGATGCTGAGAAGCGCCGGCGCTCCTGGTCTGAAGGTCTGGGGACGACAGCCCCTGAGGGAGGATACTCCACCCCAGCTGGCTCTCCACATTCCAGTGATTCTGGGCACCTTCTGTCCTCCAAGGGCAGAACGTAATGGATTCTGGGTTCTGAGTCTTTGGCTTCTGAGGAGGGTGAGGCTGGGCGAGGTGCCGTAAGTGACTCCTGGTCTTCCTGCAGCGAGGCTTTGGAGAACAGGTACTCGGACTCCAGACTAGGAGTACTCAAGGACTCATCACCTAAGACCTCGGGAGAGTACACCTTTATCTTGCGACCTGTAAAATAAATTGAATAAATTATTCAGATACACCTTACATGACGGATTTTCTTTAAAGCCTAACATCACAACCAATTTTGCCACTGGAAATGTTTAAACACAATGTATATAAAACAAGACACTTCAGTTATAATTTACGTATAGATTTCTCCTTGAAGGATCCGCCTGAGATCCGTCTCTGTAGGCCAGACAGGTCTGGACTGTGAACCCCAGAGTCCAGTGAGCTGGAGTTTATTTGGGCCTTAGATGCGTTGTCTTCCAAGGAAGACAAAGGGCGTGGAAAGTCAGTGGAACGAGGGGTCGTGTAAAGCAGTTCAGGCGTGTTTGATTCGCTGTTCCTGTCAGCATTTTGAAGTTTGGTCTGACTCAGAACATCCTGCTGCCCTTGTCCTCCCAAATATTGGTCTTCCTCTAGGTAACTGTTGCCATTAACAGTTGGTGCAATATTACTCTCGTCGCATGTCTGGGGCCAAGGGCATTGTAGAGAACCTGGTCCTTCAGCACCAGGTGGGTGGAGCTCGATGAACGCTAATGTCTCCTGCTGGCACACAGCGATGTGGTGACTGTGCTGCCTCGGGAAGGCCCTGTCTTTTCCGGCCTCGCTTAAAGCCTGGGCCTCGGCTGAGCCTGGGATCCACATGTCAGGGCTCTCTCCTCGGCAGTGGAAAGTGTGGAAATGGAGCTGGAAGTCAGGGAGAGGAGGAAATCCACATCCAGGGATCATGATTGGAGAGCACCATGAGCTGGGAAAGAGACAATACAAATTACAAGCAGATCCACACATTCATTCAAGCATGATCATGACCGAAAGATTCACAAATATAAATATCTAAATAAAATTATTGAAATGTATGTTTACAGATATGCATATTTTCTTTGCAATTCCAAGCAACACTGGGCATTAGGGCGGGCCTATATTCGATATATATCGACTCATTGTCACAAAAAGTTTAAACGATAAGAAAATTAGAAACTTCAATAAACTTTAGATAGGCAACACTGCTTGGCAGAATGCATCAGCCAATCACGTCACAAAAACAAACATAATTCCAAACCATCATATGCTAGTCATTTAAGAACAGACAACCTTTGCCTAGCAAGCACACAGTAAGATAGGTTGAGTTAGCAAAGCATGCTACATGCTACTTACATACTACACTTAAGTTATACTAAAGATAAGTTCATCCTCAGAGGAAACTTTGAGTGTCAGTGAAGAAAGCAATATCTCAGCAGGCACAACATATTGTTAAAAAACGAGATATCGTGGATAAGCAAGGTGAAAAGATGTCAGTGGTGTGACAGCACTTTGGTTATTTAAAGTCTGGCATACAACAGACTGGTGCCGTGTTTTGTAAACTCTTTTGTAAAATCCAGCTGGACATACAGTGTCCAGTCGCTTACATTTAAAGACGTCAGCAATTAAGGTTGACTCTTAATATGGGACATATGGGAAATATGGGACAAACCCCTTCCTGGCTGCTTCAAAATGCATTTTATTTTTTGCTACAGGAAGGGTGACAACTTTACTAGCAATGTCAAACCCGCCCCCTGAAAAAACAGCAAGGCAGTCGAAGAAAACCCTCAGCAACAACCTGTACTGTCTGCATTTTCTAGTGTTACTCTCTATGTCAAAAAAAGCTTATTTTTGAATGATTTATGTATTAAAATTAGATTTCAATTTTCAGTCCATTAAATTTGGCACACTTTTTATTGTCCTGAATCTGTTTTGAATCCGTTTCCTGCGTGAATTTTAACCAAAAATCGAATGCTGAAGTAAAGAAACAATGGCATGAATTACATTGTGATAATTATCAATATTTACTGATATGAAACAAATGATTGTGATAAATTTTGCGATATTGCCCAGCTCTACTGGGCACAAGTAACAGGTACTAGTTGTTTTGATGGCGCGGCGTGGCAGGGTGCGCACACACCATCACACACCATCGTACACCGTCACACACCATCATACACCGTCACACACCATCATACACCATCACACACCATCGTACACCGTCACACACCATCATACACCATCACACACCATCGTACACCGTCACACACCATCGTACACCATCACACACCATCATACACCATCACACACCATCATACACCATCACACACCATCATACACCATCACACACCATCATACACCATCACACAGGTCAGCTAGACCTGAGTTAGCATTTGGGGCTTTTGCCCATTTGCACCATCATTCTGTGAATAAAAAATGGTGTCAGTGAGATAAATTTATGGATAAATGTTGCATGCACTGCTTGGTAGGCATTGGTCTGACAGACATTCAAATAGCTTTGATGCCGGAGTTATGAAAAAGATTTCCTTAGTAGCTTCTGGGTCAGAGTCAAAACATGACAGAGAAACTTCCAGCACAGGAAATAGTTTTCTGAAAAGATTATTGTATTCCAGTGTTAAATTACACAGGAAGAAGGTTTAGCTCTGTATAGCTTGGTTTAATTTCCTTTGAGATTTTTTTCTTGGCCGCACAGTGTCTGACTGCTAATTAGCCAGTTAAACAGCAGCCCTTACCTCAAAGCAAGGTGCTGTTTAAGCACATTAGCACGGTTCCCTTCTGGCTAAGTAAAGAAAGCTATCATTTTGCATTAGTCTTAGTCAGTTATATTTTTCAGCAGTCTTTTCACGAAAAATTGCATTTACTCTTTGAATGGTTCATGTTACAAATTATTAGGCATGGAAGCATGTTGCAGAAGCATCTATGATTCTATTTTGTATGGTAGCCAGAGTTAAAACAGGCCGAAACCATCACAAGTGATTCCAGGGACCTTCATTTTAATCGAAATCTACATCCCGTTTACTTATATAGTAACTATCTAGTACTATTTATCAAGTTTTGCACCATTTTTCCAAGTTAGCGAGGAAGCTAACTTTAAAGGATACCTAATATCCGGTATTTCTGTAAAGCAGTTGGCTGCACTCATATTTCACACTGTGTTTAACTAAGGTCTCACAGCTGCTCTAGCATCCAGGGACAAAAAGGTCTTTGTTATGCACCAGTTAGCAACATTGAGTTCAGTTTCCATGGATTATTAACTAACCCTCCAGTGGATCCAGTGCCTCTGATTTAAAGTGTGTGTGTGTTTTCATACTCCAGTGCTTCATGTTATGGACTGACATGCCATCCAAGATGTCCACCTGCCTAATAAACTGACGGCTTGGACAAACAAACACAAAGAGATTTAAAAATATCTGTTTATGTGAGAAAGGCAGAAAAGATTTCTTCAGAAATTGAATATTTACTTACAATGACGTGTTCTTTTCCATGTGTACACTTTACTGTGGGTTAGCATGGGTTAATGGAAGGTTGCCATTCCATTTCCAACGGGCCCTTGACCAAAACGCTTAACCCCAATTGCAACAGGCTGACCCTGATTTCTCTATTGCACGATACTTTTGATTAAAGCATCTGATTAATATATGTAAATGTAAACGATTATTATTGATGTGCCCTGCGAAGGCTTGGTGCCCCATCCTGGGTTGTTCCCAGCCTTCCACCCGCAGTCTCTGGCATAGGCTCCGGACCCTGAATAGGACAGGCGGTTACAGAAGATGGATGGATGGATGGATGGATGACTGGATGGATTACTATTGAGATTTTCTCTCAGGTAACAAAAAATTGCATAAACATGAGCAAAACTCAGGCCACTGGAACACTTGCAACATTTTCTAGTAGAAAATCCTCAGTTGTTTTAGTTTCCACTTTTTAAAGTTCAACTTTGCCCTAGGACCTAAAGGTCATTAAAGGGTCAAAGGTCAATTAGACGTAAATGCAACTCAGCCAGAAATGAGACACCTGTCAGCCTTTTCTGCATAAATCCATTGTCAGACAAAGCATGCATTACTGTAATGATTCTAATTTTGATGCTATTTCTTTGGGAATAAATCTCAGTTTTTGTTAAAAATTTAAATGCAAATTAATAATGCATGAGTGAGTTCCTTGAGATCTGTATTACATTGATGATTGGTTTATCCATCTTCCAATCATTTTATTTCAGCATGCAGGGGGCGGAGCCTATTACAGGTCACATGGCAGGTGTACATCTAGTACAGCAGTTCACCTTAGGTCACATCCACAATGACACACTATGAGCAAGTTAGATAAAGTTCCTGCATAGTAGTATTAATTTTTTACCACAAACCTAATTTCACAGAAACACAAAGATATTACACATATTTTGTAATAATTATTATCTTATTTATTTCAGCTTTAGTCAAATAAGTTTCTGGATCATTATCCATCTAGAGTGTATGACACCTTCTGAATAACCAGGTGTCTGTTTAAATAAAATAAGCCCCCTTTTCATCCCTTAATGGTCATTAGTGTTTCACCCCAGACCCACAAAAAAGCGAAGAGTGACACCCAGTGCAGGGGAAAGTCAGAATCCTTGAAAGGCATGTGCAGATATGGAGAACACCTCCCCAGCCAAACAAGGGCATATTTATCCAAAAAGCTACAATTGACAGAGATCTGCTGAGACTCCCAAGTAAAATGCAAGAGCACAAAGACTTTTTGTGACTTCTACATGTTTACAGGCACATTTTACACCATTTACTTGTTATCAACTAAGTTATCAACTGACCAAAGTTTAGGAAAGTCAATAAAATACACACCCCCAAATAGTCATGCTACAAATAATGACAGATCTTGAAAGGCTTTTTGTAAGTCATTCTTGCAGAACAGTGTTAGCCTACCCAGTTTGACCATAAGACAAAGTGTCTCACGTCACTGCATGCAAATGATCATTTTCATGTATGACAAGGTCACGAAAGGAAGTACAGTTACAGTTGTGGCTTTTTTTAGTATTTATTGTGGACTTATTTTGGAAGTGTATTTGAAAGCTGTATTTGTTGGTCATCCTTAACTACCGATCCAATGGAGGGTCACACTCACCCTGGAGCCATTTCTAGGAAGCAAGGGCCACATGCGTGATTGGATTTCACTCCATCACACAAGTACTTACTCACTCACTCACCACTCACTCACTTACTAGCTAACTCCATCAAACAAACACTCACTCATTCACTCTCTCCATCAAACACTCACTCATTCACTCACTCCATCACACAAACACTCACTTACTCACACACAATGTTGGTATTAACGTATCACAAAGTAACATGTTATTGTAACTCCACTACCAATGCCAGGCTGTCACTCTAAATAAGAAACAGTTCTTAATGCTTTGCCTGGTAAAATAAAGGTTAACGAATGAATAATGAATTACTTTTCGCGGTAACATATAATGTAACTCATTACCTATTCAAATTAAATGATGCAATTAAAGGTACTGAAATTTAAATGGGCTTGTTACTCCTTACTTTTGTCTTGCATGAAAATATTAATGGACAAATACAGCCAATTCCTCTGATGTACTGCTGATCTAACACTTACAACCTTACAGTGAAGCAATGAATGAGTGATATTAGGTAAAGTGATAGATAAAGTCTGATAGTTGTCTTGTCTCACACTCTCACAGCAGCAACACTGAAATAATATTGCTAGATAGATAGATAGATAGATAGATAGATAGATAGATAGATAGATATTTGTCTGCAGACCCACACATCTCTGTTGCTCTCTGTCTCATGGAGAAGCGCAGCCTGCGTGGTGATTTTGTTTGTGTGTTAAAAGCAGCCCAGTCACACACTGGCTCTAACTGCCAGGCCACATTCCAGGCCCTGTGCTGAACATGTGGCTCGCACGTTC